TAATTTTCTATATCTCTTTTCAGTGATGTTAAAAGCCATGCATAGTGAATCCATTACTTTGCAAAAAGAGACTTCTTTTTGGTAACAGACAAAAAGGTATATGTCAGGGGACAATATAGTGGCATTTCTCACTATGCTAAAAAGTCTGGGGGTAAAAACAAGAAAACAATTTGTTGACAAAACTAAAATGTAGTCCCATTTGTCAACTAAGATGGAAACAGGAAAAGAAAAAGAATAAGCAGAAGATTTGAAGAAAAGGGTACTTGAACAAATAGGTATTCTAGAAGCTTTTCTGTACAGGTAGGTGAAAAATAGAGCTTCTACATTTGTCTCAGCTTACGGTGTTTGCTAAATTCTGTTCACTAACGAAATACACAAATAATTTCTTTTCTTCTGTGCCACCAAAGGGAGTATGTACCAAGGAATGTGCATTGTTATCAGAAAACAGCTTCTTAAATAAAAGTGGTATTTTATGAAAAATCGAGGAAGCAGTTGCTATATGTGAAATTTAAGAATTGGGGGGATTCACAGAAGAACGAAGATAGTGCCACTTGTGATAGTTTTAAACAATAAAGACCTTTAAAATACAGTTTAATTTTGACACACGTTGAAAAGAGAAGGGAAATGACTATGAAAATCTTCCATACTATGTACATGTTTGATATTTATTTAGTGGCAAACTTTTTTCATGATGGCTGGTGGCATATTTTAAAAAATATTAATCTTTCCCTTCAAAGTAAATGTGATAACAATAACAAAGAAGATATTACTTATAAAAAGGAATGTGCTACAGAGAGCATTTAGAAATAGATATTTGAATACATTATCACAGTTTTGTGATTTTTTTTTCTGAAACAAAAATATAAAGGGAATGGCTCTATATTTATATATTTAAAAATCTTGGAAATATTTTTCTAAGCTGCTTAAAATTCTCTAGATTAAGAGTTTTAAAACAATTTGTTACAATGTTTTAACATTATGCCTTCCAGTTGGCTATGAAAACAGATTGACATAAAAAAAGATAAGACATTTATTAGCCAGATTACATAAAAAACCTTTGTATAACTGATGGATGGAATTGAAAAATGAGTGTTAATGACTTAGAAACTACAGTCAAAAGAGTAGTTCTCCCATTCTTTATTTATATTTTGTGGGGTTTCAGCTACTAAATCCCAACATCCAAATAAACTTTTCCTAAAATTAAACTTCTGAGTTTGCTGGATTGAAAAATATTTAATAAGTAATTTAAAAACTAATGAAATATATTTAGTTCCATTGCTTTTATTTGTGCCATTAGTAACATAGCATTAAAAATTATTTTCAACCATTTTTTTCATATTCATATTTTACTTAATGAAAATGCAAACATAGATGCATTGGAGGATGTGGACAATTTTTTTAATGAGATGCACAAACAAACAACTAGGATAGGTCCATTACTTAACAAATCATTATAATCAAAGATATATATTGTGATTTAGCAGCCCCAACAAAATTTCTCTAAAATATTTTTCTTAAAAAATGACACAAGTAAAAATTTATTTTAGGACAATAAAAGTAGGGAAAAGAAAGACATTTCAAAATCACTCAACATTCTACCAACCAAAGAAAATCTCTTGAAATTTTAGTGCATACCCTTCCGGATTTTATTTGATATGTATATGTATCTTTTTACCCAAACATAGGCTTTCCTTCTTTACTACTGTTTCTATAGGACCTTTATACCTTATGTAATTTAAAACTAAAATTTAAAGGGGATTTTGTGACAGATGGAAAATTTAAGGAACAACCACGGCAGGCTCCTTCCTGCTGTGGCCAAGGCTGGATCTTTATCAACAACCCTGCCCATTGCCTGTCATTTTAATGGCCTTTATCTGGATGTTAACTGTGTGGTTTAACTCTTGGAGAGAAAGCACCCAAAAAGGGACCAATCAAAGGTGTCTTTTGACTTGCTTTATCTACAGCTGGCCTGAGTAAGAGGGCAGATAGATAAAGGGAACTAAGATCTTGGGGAGACTTTGTTTCTGTTCAGTGTTACCACTTTATCTGAAGCCAATAAAACTTGGTTTATAAACCAGAATTATTGGCTGTGTGCAGTGGAACAGAAAATAGAACCCAGGGAGTGACTATCAATGGAGTCATTATATCTTCTGAATCAAGCAGTTATCTCTCCGAGGTGTGGTCCTGGGGCCTAATCTCATATAACATTTTTTATCAATGACTAATACTATGAGAAAAAGCATTCATTCACACAGCAAATGAAACCTAGCTGGGAAATGAAAACGAAGAAGAGGAAGTCACATTCTCAATGACCAGAGTAGAATGAAAATGACCCACAAAATTGGAGAAGTAGTAAGAAGTAAACAAAATGAGTAAGACACAGAGTGGGCAAAAATGAAAAAGGAAGAAAAACAAGTTTCAAAAAGAGGAATGGCTAGAAATTGGCAAGCATGGAGAATAACTTAGAGATTTTTTTTAAGAAATAACAAGCAGACCAGGGTCAATAATGTAGTGCTGTTGTTTAAAAAGCAAACACAACATTGTGAAGTGTATTCCTTACTAACATTTACCTAAACTCCTGCTTCTTAGAGTGTCATTTGCAAACACTAAGTACTTGTTTTGTTTGTTTGTTTGCCCAGAAATGCCATTCATCTTAAAAACAATGGTGGAGAACACAGCCATTCAAGTGACTGAAACAGTAATATAGGAAAACCTAGTTTTATTGTAAGATTGGAGAGGAATAATTTTCTTTTCTTCTGCCAGAGATGGAGTAGTTGAATTATGATCTTTAAACAGGAGCATATAAGTTATACTGATGAAAGGCTGTTAAATTCGGGCTCTTCTGCACCCTACGTAATGTAAAATTGGATTACTCGACTTTTAGGAAAGACTGAAAGAGAAGAGAAAGTTAAATTGTATTAGGAAGGAGTTCACTTAGAATAGACAGAGATAAGAAAGGCAGTTTGAAAATGGGAACAATTCAAAGAATCTGGTAGAGTTTCCATTGATTTCAACTCTTCTAAAATGGTGAAATGTGGTGATACAAGGAGGGTTGAAATACATTTTTAGCCAGACCTCAAGTTTTGTGATTTTTGCCTTAGAACCTAACTAAAACAAATCATTTGCACCAAGACTTAAATGCTGAGAGAGAGAGAGAGAGAGCCAGAGAGCAAGTTTGTTGTGATTAAAATTATTCCTGGTGATTTCAGGGGATATTTTTTTAAAAAATACTCTGATTTTGTTGCATCCTTGAATGCAAGTGCAGTATCAGTGTCAGATATCTGATGCATATGAAATAAGAAAAGAGCTGAAGCCTACAGAGGGGAGTATCCGCATAAAACAGGGTTCCTAGTTTATTTTCCTGATACTTTACTCCATACTGCTTTCCTTTTTCTTTTTAAAGCTTTCCATGCACAATGGACATCTATTAATTATAGGACATTGTAAAATCACAGACCACCAAACAAGAACAAAAACTATATATATGTAGTTCCATCACTACTAAGGGGGAAAAGTCATTTAACCTTTTCATGTGTATCTTCTGAGATTTTTAAAATATTTTATAAAGCACACTTTTAATTTGGTATATATTTTAAACGTTTATAAAAATGGGAATTTCATAATCTCTCTCTTGACTTAGCATCACCACCCCTACCTTTGCTCAGGTGAGTGTTTCCAATTGTTCACTGTCATTAACGACTGCAATTAGTATCTCCAATATTGGCATGCGTTTTTTTAAGCAAGAAGGGGGTTGGAACAAAGCAATCCGGGCACTTACTCCACCAGCGGGTCATCTATTGAACATGGACTTGTGCCGGGCTTGGCATGAACTGGACGTTGGCACAGAGAGGTGGTGAAGGCAAACTTTCCGCTGCCAGTTACCTTTCCGTCTCAGGAGTCAAGCAAGACAGGGTTGAAGACTGGGAGGCAACCACAAGCTCAGCCTGCCTTTAAAGTGAATCTAGTTGAAAGAAGAACGTCGCTGGGCCAGGGGCCAGGGGCCAGGTGCATGTGCATGAATGGTGCAATTGCTAACGCGATCTCCAGAATGAAACTCTCCCGCGTTAGCAATTGTTGAGCTCACACATTAAAAAATATGCATCCACCAGTTATGTTAGCTCTGATCCAGCAGCTGCCCCTGCAGAACACCCGGACACGGCCCTCTGAGGCTCTCGATCCCCGCGGAGAGGAAACCCCTACCCGGCCTCCGGGCATCCGCGGGGGGACCCGGGGACCCCCCCATCCCCGCCCGGCCGCCCACCCCGCGCTGCAGCCCAACGGCCCCGCCCCGCCCGCTTCCCCGGGTGCGAGCTCCCGCCGCGCGCGTGGCTTTGCACATGGAAGCCTGGCTGCTCTGCACGGCGGCCGCGGCGAGGGTGGAAAACAAACTCTGTTCCGTGTTCACCGGGTTGGAACAGAGGGACTTTCGGAAGGGAAATGATGAGTTGCGCGCAGCCTTTTGTTTTTGTTTTGAATCAAAATCATTTTAATGGATGGATAAAGGGGTGGTGGCGGCGGTGGGTGGGTCGTCCGTCCCATGCCAGCGCTTTGCAAGCCGGCGGGAGAGGGCGCAGGACGGAGCAGCAGGTGGCCTCCGCCCAGCCCGCCGGGCGCTGACCGCGGCTCCCAGGGCGGCCGGAGGGGAAGCATCCACGGGATTCCCCGCGTGGGAAGCGCCTCCTCCCCGCAGACCTGCACCCGGGGGGCCGGGCGCGTCTCCGCCACGTCCGGCAGCCGGAGGGGAGGATGCACGAGCCGCCGGCGGCATGCAGACCCCGAATGGGCACGGAGACCGCGGACGCCCGCCTCCAGCCCGCCGCCGCCGCCGCCGCGGAGGGGCGGGGCCGAAGCCGCGAGGGGCGGGGCCGAGGCCGCGAGGGGCGGGGCCGAGGCCGCGAGGGGCGGGGCCGAGGCCGCGAGGGGCGGCGCGGCGCGCGGGAGGGGACGGGTTCTCGCGCGATTGGGCGAGGTTTCCGGTGTTGTGACTGAAACCCGTCAATATGGCGGCGGTCGGCCGCGGCCGCTCGCTGAAGAACCTCCGAATACGAGGTAAGCCCGCGGCAGCCCCGACTCCCGCCGCTCCCCGGGCCCTGCCCGGCCCCCCCGGCCCCGGGCTGCGAGGCGAGCGGGGCGCCGGGCGGGGCGGGGCGGCCGCCGCCGGCCTGGCCGCGGGCGCTAACCGGGCTGTGTGTGTGTTTCGCGCAGGGCGGAATGACAGCGGCGAGGAGAACGTCCCGTTGGACCTGACCCGAGGTAACGCGCGGCGCGGGCCGGGCGGGGCGCGGGCGGGGGCGGGTGCGGGGCGGGAGCGGGTGCGGGTGCGGGCCGGCCCGCGCGGGAGCCCAGCCCGGGGCCGCCTCCCGGACCCTTCCCCCTTCCCGGGGCGCCCGCTCCCCTCGCCCCGAGCGCCCGGCTCCGGGGCCTGGGGCGCTGCGGGCGCCGGGGCCACCCGCGCGGGACTCGGCGCCGCCGGCCGCCTCTTCGGGGCCCCCGCGGCCCCGGCGCCCCGGAGGGCGGGCGGGCGGGCGGCGGAGGCTGTCGTTGAGGCTGCGGGAGGATGTCGGAGGGGAGAGCGACCACATCCTGCCTTCCCGGCCCCCGAGCAGAAGCGGGACCTGCCGGTCCACGCCGCCCGCCCGCCGGGGACCTCCTCGCCCACCGCCCCGGGGAGCAGAGCGGCGGCACCGGCTGGAGAACCGGGAGGTCGCCCCTCGGCGCCGGAGGAGCGCCCTCCCGCTGCCCGCCTCCCGGCCTCCGGCCGCAGGCTCATTGTTTACCTCCGGCGCCGGTTTGTTTACACCTCGGCGCGGCGGGAGCGCGGCGGCGCTTTCAGGGCCCGGGTCCCCGGCCCGGCAGTGGCCGCGGGTGTGCGGCGTGTGCGGGTGTGTTTCTGCTCTCCGCCGCGGTAAACAGGATGGCTCTCCTCTTTAAGAAGTTCTCTCCTTTCACACCGGCCGCAGCAGCGTTCTTAGAGTGCAACCCGGCTCAGCTGCAGTCAGTTTCTTTTTTGAGATCTGAAAAACACCCTGGGGAGTTACACACACACACACACACACACACACACACACACACACACACTCACACACTCACTCACACACGCAAAAACACCCTGGGAAGTTACACACACACACACACACACACACACACACACACACACTCACACTCACTCACTCACACACACACGCAAAAACACCCTGGGAAGTCACACACACACACACACACACACACACACACACACTCACACACACACACACACACACACACAAAAACACCCTGGGAAGTTACACACACACACACACACACACACCCTGGGAAGTTACACACACACACACACACCCTGGGAAGTTACACACACACACACACACCCTGGGAAGTTACACACACACACACACTCACACACTCTCACACACACACACTCACACACTCACACACACACACACACGCAAAAACACCCTGGGAAGTTACACACACACACACACACACACACACACACACACACACACACACCAGTCGTAAACATTCTGGGTAAAACTTAAAAAGACGACTTGAACCTGTGTGGTATGGACATGCTGTTATCCACGGTCTTAGACGTGGGCTCATGGCTGAGGCTGTTGAAAGCACAGCTCGTTTCTAATTCGTTTTTGCATCGCATCATGTAAGATTGCTGTTTTATAACCCGAGAGGCTGCTTTTTAAGTTTAGCCACCAGGGTACATTTTTGTAACTTTTTTTATTCTGGAAGTTCAGGGACTTCATATATGTGGAAAAAGATTTATTTTTATTTTTATTTTAAGTAAATTTCCTAGCAAAATAAGCAAAATTCCCACAGGGCTCAAAAATTAGCATTTAGTTCTGGAACAGATGTAGTTTATTAGTGATTTGGATAAATCACTGATTTGTATGCTTTAGATAGAGGTGAAAAGGTCATTTATTAGATTTTGTGTCTTAAGATCCTGCTTGGATGTGGTGCTAGAAATAAGTTACAGTTGTGCTCTAATTGAGTTTGCGGAGTTCCTGTGTAGCGGTTTCTCTGGCAGGTGTCAGAATTTGGGGTTGTAAAAGAGCCATGTGCAACACAAATTTGGTTTGATACCTTTGGTTTACTTCAGTTTTACTCAGATAAACAGATAACGCAGTACATTTACTATTTAAAATTCTATATTTCCTGAACATTTAGTAAACACTTATGTTCATTGGGGTTTCTAGGTAATTCAATAAGTGCAGAAAATGCTATTTCTGCTCGCTCTGACAAAATGTGCTTCAGTTTGTAAAGAAATATACACAGCCCATTGAAACTGATTGCAAAAACAATATACAGCTAACAGTGAGAGATTATATGAAAACTGTATTTCTGAATCCTAAGAAAGTTTAGAATAAAAAAAAGTAACCTGAGATTCATTATATAGTGGCACTATTGTTTAAGAAATTGCTATTCTGAGAAACATTTCGTTGTTAACCAGAAGGCTTGTGGATCTAACATGAAGAAAGGTTATGAGGAATTACAATTTGGTAATATTTTGAGAATATTACTAGAACTGTGGGACACTGGATTGCAGCTGAAGGGCAGCTGTTTGTGGTTGGATTACAGTGTGTTTAAAATTTAGGTAACCAAAAGATATCTATTTATAATGGTGAGGCAATGTTTGCTCTCATTCTGATTTTTTTAATGTAACCTTTGAGAAAGTCATTGTGTGGCTATCTAACAAAATTCATTATAAAATAAAGGTCATGGTCATTGTAATTCCTTTAGGAAAAGAGAGCAGACTGTACAGTCAGATAGATCTGGGTTGTAATCTCAGTTATGATACTTAATAGTTAGGTGATTTGGGACAAGTTATTTGACCTTACTTAACTCTTGGTTTCTTCATCTCAAAAAAAAAAAAAAATAATTTCAAAGAGTTATTAGAATGTGAGAAGTAAAAGACTAGTGCTTAATTAGAGTACTCAGCACAGGACCTGATACTTTGTGAGTAATGTTAACTAAATGTTAGTTGCCCTCCTATCAAAATTATTCATACACATTTAAAATATTTAAAGTGACCCTCTGGTTCCCTTTCCCATCAGATCTGAACACCGGTCTTGGTGGTCGTAGAGGAGGAAAAGTAACAATGAAGCTGGCCTCATGGTGCTTGTAACCTGTAGGCCAGTTTCAAACAAGGTTGAAAAATAAAATAAAATATTTAAAATGATTGTTTTGAATATTACAAACTTGCTTATAAGGAATTAGACTAATGAAGTTCTCTCTCTCTTTTTTTAAAAATATATTTTATCGATTTTTTACAGAGAGGAGGAGAGAGGGATAGAGAGCTAGAAACGTCGATGAGAGAGAAACATCGTCCAGCTGCCTCTTGCACACCCCCTACCAGGGATGTGCCCGCAACCAATGTACATGCCCTTGACTGGAATTGAACCTGGGACCTTTCAGTCTGCAGACCGACGTTCTATCCACTGAGCCAGACCGGTTTCGGCATCTTTTTAAAAATATATATTTTTATTGATTTCAGAGAGGAAAGGAGAGGGAGAAAGAGATAGAAACATCAATGATGAGAATCACTGGTTCTCCTGCACCCCCCCAATCCCCACTCTGCACTTGCCTCCTGCACCTCCCCACACTGGGGATGGAGCCTGCAATCCAGGCATATGCCCTGCCCAGGAATCAAACCATGACCTCCTGGTTCATAAGTAGACACTCAACAATTGAGTCCTGCCAGATGAGCCTTTTTTCCCCCTGAGTCATTAAATTGGATATAAATGAAGTAGAGTTCTTGAATATAACAACTAAAAAAGTAATGTGAAATTACCAGTAATTTAGGTATAAATTAAGAGCAGTCTATTAATGAATTTAAGGTAAAATATGATATTTAATTTATAGAACCTTAGAATTTTTCTCCTTGACTCCAGAAAATTTTTTAGTAATTTTTTTTTTTTTTTGGCTAGTTTTTCAAGCTTCTTGAGGCATTGGAGAGTTTTAAGATTCTGTTGAAAGATGTTGATGGATTAATTTCATCCTAGTTTAGGAATTTCATTGTATGGGCAACTTACTAGTTAATTGTTGCTTTCAGTTTTGTCTGGACAACTACCCTATTTAATTTGTGAAAATCCCTGTTATTTGCTATTGATATCATTAAATAGTCATGCCAGATGATTTACATGTAAAAATCTATTTTGAAACCCATATACTTCCCTTAGCTACTTCTACTGCAAGTATAGTGTATTTTTTGTCATTGCAGTTGTGCATCTTTTCCTGGTACTAAAAAGACAGTATTTTTCCTGTGTAAGCCCTTCCTAGTATAATTTAATTATCATATTCACAGGGAATTCTGAGGACATGGGCACAGTTATATTCAAATGTAATTATGAGAATATAATTTATTTAAAAGTATTAAGGTTTTTTTTTGTTCAACTCTTTTACTTTCCCATTCGTAAAAATTAAAAAAAAAATTATTTTAGTTGTTTAAAACTTACAAAAGTAGGAAGGTTTTTTGAATGATGCTTTGAGCAATCACTTTTTGTTTTTTAATTTCCAGTTAGAAGCTTACTCATGTTATTTACTCACTTCAGTTAGACAAAACAGATATTGACTGAATGCTCATTATATACTAAATGCTGAATTAGGTGCCAGAGGAATAAAGATGAGGAAGATGGTTCTCCCTTTTTAGGAGTTTACTGGAGCAGACATAAAGAAATGTTTACAATATGGAACAATAAATGAGTGATCAAACTGTTTCAGGAACAGAAGTAGTCCAGAGGAGAGAATGATTAACGATCTGGTTGGTAGGGGATCAGAGAAGGCTTCACAGAGGGGTTGGCTTTTTGTGAACAGTCGTGGACAGAGTGGAAGGAAACATGGGCTCTCCACCTTGGGAGAGTCAAGTGGGAAATCTAGGAAGAGGAGCTGCCTAGGAGACCACTGTTACCATCTGAGAGGTGATGGGGGCCGGAACCAGGACGTCGGAGACATAAATGAAGTTGAATATATATTGGAATGGAGAATCACCTAATTTATTCTTCAGGTTCCAGATCGACTTTGTAATCCTCCTACTCTGTGCAGAGAACCTTTACTTCTTTGTTACGAAGGTAGAAGCTGTCTGATACGTGTTCCCTTGTCTTCCCTTTATGTTTCATTTCACCCATAGTTCTGTTTCTCTGAGTCAGAAGAAAGCATCTCTACTTTATGCTTCTAATAATGTTTAATATTCTCTATATACTAAGATTTCTTGCTTCTTTATGTCTGCTTTCCTATTGGCTTAGTTT